GATGAGGAGTTAGTGTTGGTCTTTCTTCTTTTCTTCTTTTTTGGTGCTTTATGTCAAAGGGGGAGAAAATTAGAGGGGTCAACAACTTAACAACTTTTTCGACGCCATGGAGGTTGCTGTAGCTAGAGTTATGTTCGTATCTGTTTAGAGTAGTCTTCGTTAGGTGAGAGTTTGAGAGTCCATTAGAAACTCTATTTATGTAATAATGCTACTTAAGAACTTCTTATATGTGTGGGATATGGACATATATTAATCTATACTGTCGTTTGTGATACAATTATGCTAGAATATATATCTTTATATATATCATATGTTGTGTGGTGTCTGTTTTGATCTGTGTTGTTACAGCAAGTGCGGCAGTGCCACACCCAGCTGCAACAGCAAACCATGTTGTGCATAAACTATCATTTGCATCATGTTTTACATATCTGACACAATATACAGCACCCCACAGGAGCATGGATGTAGGGGGAGCCCCATCACTTTCACAAAAAATGAATCTTGGCTTATTATGCCAATTTAAGAATTTAATTCTCTATTCACATATTTAGGGGGAGGCTCTACACCCATGGCTCAAAAATCTTAGTATTTATTTCATATATTTTGTAAACTCTAATTGGGTTATCATCAATCACCAAAAAGGGAGATTAAAAGTGCAATCAAGCCCTAATCGTGGGTTTTGGTGATAATGACCACACAATTAGAGAACTAATGAGATTTATTGAGATGACAAGCAAGGAATTTATATTTGAGGATGCTACACAAAACGGAGGAGCCCCCAATTATAAATGTAGATGACTTTCAAACTCAAAGGAGGTTTAAATTCTTTTATATTTTGAATTTGAGTATAGAAAAAGCCGTACTATAAAGAGGGACACAATGCTTAGCTAATATGTGATATCAAGTGCTCAAACATACACATGCATCCTCAGATTCATAGCCAAGACAGTCTACACTTCACTCTTATCCTTGATGTTGTCTGGGTGCGGCATCGCAAGACTTGAAGAGAGAGGCACCTTGCACTTGAGCAAACATCTTCTTTGCAACTTAACTCCGACCGCTAAATGGGGGGGGGTTTATTCCCTTCCTCTTCCTTTCCAACGGCTCTTTGCCTCTTCATCCTCATTTCAGCACGTCCAAAACAGAGCAGGAGCTCTCTCTCTCTCTCTCTCTCTCCATCGTTGACCTCAAGCCCCCAAGCAAATCCATTGATTTCCCCATCAATTCTCGAGGGAAAAGGGGTCCAAAACTCGATTAGAGAGCAACTCCATTGATTCCCCAACTCTAAAGAGCACTTTCTTCACGTTTTGGCCGACGATTGTGTTTGTTACTCTTGGAGCTTGGCTTCTAGCCGGCTAGAGCGTCGTCCGTGGAGCTTACCAACTTGTGTGACAGTCCCGGGAGGTTTGTAACCATCTCTTGAAGTTAGTAAACTCACCCCTCATCTCAAGAGTTAAGTCTCTTGATTTGAGAATGAGAAAGGGTTGGAAAGCCCTAAGCCTTAGTGGCTAACCTCAACAATGTGGAGGTAGGTAAGCCTTGGTGGCGAGCCGAACCATGGGATAAATCATTGTGTCATTTGTGCTTGATTTACATTACTTGCATGACATATTGTGGTTGAGGTGATTTCTAGGGTTTCTAGTCTATCTACTTGTGTGTAGTGTTCCTACCACTTCTAGCTCTTGATTTGTGATTGTCATACCCGCAGTAAGCTAGGAAATTTCTACAATCTAAGTTTTCGTTCACGGATTTTGAACTGTGATTCGAAGTTGTCTGTAGGTGCGACAGTGCCGCTGTTCTCCCAGCAGTGCCACAGTCCGATAGTGCCGCCCTCCAGAGCGGCAGTGCCGCTGGGTGAATTTGATAAAAGTTTTAGTGTTTGTTTTGATAGGCCTATTCACCCCCTCTAGGCCAACCAGAGATCCTACAACATGGCCTACGGAGCCTGCGACGGCGATGCCGACGGGGAGCCTGAACCGCCTTGCCACGACCAGAAGGAGGGGAGAGGTGTCGGATTCGCCGAGCGAGGCCTCCAAGTTTAAGAAGTGAAGTCTCGCAGCAGAGTCCACCGGAGAGCCTAGAAAGGGATTCGCCTCGGGTCGAGGGAACTCGAACATAGGATGAGCTCGGTCGTGAGTAGCAACGGCAAGAGGGGGTAGCTCAAGGAACACGGATCTGCCCATGCTCCGAGCGGCCTCGTCCTCCTCCACCTCATCTGCCCACGAGCGATGGGAGCGGAGCCATTCTCCATGGCGGACTAGCCAGCGTGACCGGAACAGGTCGACGACGGGAGGGTTGGTGGACGCCGGGACCGGAGTGGTCACCGACGGGTGGAGGTGGACAATGGCGCCGGGCTGGCCACCGGCGGGAGGAGGTGGACGTCGGGGCCGGGGTGGCTACCGACGGGCGGAGCGGAGCGGTCTCTCACCTAGAGAGAGAAACTAGAGAGATAATGGATTTTTTCTTCACCGACAATATATGTGCTCCGTGTTCTCTCTACATGCATGCCTCTTAGAGGCATCAATAAACCTCTGAATCTTCAACCGGTAATGATGGATCTAATTTTGATAAGTTGTACATCCATGACCTTTCCATCTTGATTTGTACAAAAATTATAATGATAATTTAATTTGTAATTAAATATATAGGTATAAAATTATTTTCATTATTTGAATAAGCTTAAAAACCAGTATCTTACTTAGAGAGTGTTGTTCAAACTCATCCTCAACCATATCTAGAGTCAGAGAAGTACCTTGATTCCCCTATATATTTGAAGACCTTAGCAATGGCAAACTTGCCTGACCCGAGGTTGAGGAGGTTAACCTTCATTGCCATCCACTCCTTAGGTATGAGATTTTGCCACAGAAGCTGCAACTTTGGTGGTTGGTTCAGGGCCATGTCAGAGAGGCCTGATGTAGCACAAAGGTTGTTGGGGTTCCGGACACAGAAGCCCAACCAGAATTTGAGGTCAGGAACATACACCACTCTGCCATCAAACGGCAGCTCCCAGTCACCGGCGGCTTTCCACCACTCACCTTTGGCCGTGTCGAAGCAGTAAGTGCCCTCTCCTATGGATGACTGGCAGATTGTGCGACCATCCTCCACCACCGTGTAGGAGATGATACGGGCAATTTTTTCGTGGGATCCGAAGATGAAGGCTGGCAGTGGAAGAGACTGCCAGTGCCAGTACCAACCGCCGCCGCCTGGGTTACCGAATCTGAGAACGTCGAAGCGGGATTTGAAGTCCAGTCCATACGGTACGCCGTGCATGATGTACGTGCCTTCTTCCTGGGCACCGGCGGCCTGGTCGACGATAGAGGCTGAGACATGCACATGTCCCTTGAACTCTTCAAGATCCGGCATGGCCTTGGCAAATCGTTCGTCGGCATTGAACAGGGCGGACTGGCCAACCTCGTTCATGGAGAAAATCCTGCTCTCGCTGCTGCAGGGGCTCAGCAGCCCAAAGAAGGGCATCTTGGAGATGGAGCTACGCGCCACGGTAGTGAGGGCCGGTTGCATGAAGATACACGGTTCAGGTAGCTCCTGCAACCTCTCTATCTCATCACCACCACCAGTGTTGGCTTGTGCGGCTTGGGCTGTTGATGGGTAGAATAGATGTTTGGAGACGTCGAGGCGGTGCAACGAGTACAAGCCTCTCTTATAGTCCTCCGCCACGATGTTCACGAACCGCCGGATCATCGCCATCCCCCTTACCCGACTCAAATCACAAGAGACAGGATCAAAGACTCGTCAGACATAAAAAGGGCTGGGGAAGGGGGAAATAGATTCTTGGGAGGAAGACAGATCTACTGATTTAAGGCCTCGGCCGATCAATCTTGAAGACCGCCCCGCCAAGCGAGCGTCGACGAGACTCGAATGGAGCAGAGACCGACCACCTCTAGCGGCGGCCCAGCGAGATTGAGATTGGGTAAAACCTAGGTCTTACGCCATGTGCCTGACCGTCTTTCTGCATGCATGCTGGAAGCGAAGGCCAAAGTGGCTGGCGTCCTGGCTAGCATATCTGAAACACGATCCCTCAGCACCGAATGCGCTTGTCTACTGCTCCTACAGATCGCAAAGGTGAAAGCTGGCAAAACGTGGAGAACTGGAGATGCACAGATCCTCAGCACCGGATGGGCTTGTCTGCTACTCCTATTGGGCCTCCGCAGACAAATCTCGCTCCTATCTCTCAGGCACGTACCCTTTTTTTTTTTTTACAAAACACAACGGATTCCTTCCATACTCCAAATTCCAATCTCTTATTCGAAAGATCACTCCAAATTCCAATATCACTCCTTTAAAATAGGGCCTCTTTCGATGACCCACCGCCAAGTGATGTGTGCAGGAGTGTTATAGAAACGTTCTGGTACAATATACTCAGTTCACTATCAAATAAAGCGTACAAGGGCAAGTGGAATTGTGGATCACCTGCACTGCTGCACAGGTGGAAGGGAGAACATGGACAAGAAACACAAGGCGCCAACCTCCAACGCCGAACGGGGGGTACAAACATAACTGCCAAAAACATAAGAGACGTGCTGATTCTGGAGTGCACAAGCAAAGAAAAATTACAATCTTGTAAAAGAAGGGGTGCAAACCCGATTCACATTCGCAGTTCAAAACTGGACGATTCTCACTGTCCATTGAGTATCGACAAAGGAACGCAACGTAAAACACAAACTACTAATTGCTTCAGCTTATTTACACCTGGAGATGCGTCCTGCACCGAACAGACAACAAAAATACCTTGACTCTAGCGTTAACTAGCTGCCATTTCTGACAAAGTGTCACATCAACCTCCAAACACCAGGAAGCAAAGAATGCCAGGGCACCATCAAAATATGCTCCGACGTCTCCAACCGTCGACCGATGCCGCTACTCTATTTACAAATTACAACAGATACCCTATCAATCAGGAACGATACAGAAACTAAAACACTAGTGCTACCACTACCCAGGCCCTAGATCGAGTATCTATCAAGATCGTTAAAAACCCATTTTTACTGATCCCCATCGAGTTCTTCAATTAAACTACGGAGTTTTTGAACCACCGGATTATCCCAGTGGGCTTTGATCCTCTCCATGAGCAACCTACATGGATCATTGTCAGAGGGCGGTAGATCCTTTGGAACCGGAGGATTGAGGAACGGGTGCTTGAGAAGTTGAGGTATCCTCCATCGTTCATTTCGGTCCCAGGCAAGACACCTTTGCATCAAATCAATCAGCCATGGGTTGTCAACTGGTCCATACATGATCTTGTGGTTCCTATCAGTGACTTCTTTATATTTGGCCCAGAAAGTCTTGTAGTCTGCAAATGGTGTCTTACCATACACCATCTGGTAAAGTATACAGCCAAGAGACCAAATATCAGAGGGGCGCCCGCACTTGATAACATTACCACCCGAGTCTGTATCATTACACCTGAATGCTTCAGGTGACATGTAGTTCAGAGTCCCTACCTGCTCAGTGTAGTGAGAAAACCACAATTAGCCTTTCATAAAAAACAACACACATAACTCGAGATAATGGTAATATTATTAATATACAAGTGATGCCAACAAAGAAATGCTATAATTGTAACATGGTACCTGAGCATCACGTTGAATATTTGTTGTATCATTCATTATGGCCTTGGCGATGCCAAAGTCAATTAGTTTAAGAGAGCCCCTCACAAGCATAAAGTTTGCAGGCTTCAAATCCGAGTGAACTATTCGTTCCTCATGTATTGTACTGACAGCTTCAAGCATTTGCTACAGTAGAAACGAAAGAAGAAAAAACATCAAACGGTGTCTGAAAAGGCGAAAAGCTCACATCACTTATTACTCCCTTCGTTTCGCTATGTTTGTCAACGGCCTTTGGAAAAAAAAATTCCACAATGTTTGTCCATTGAAGATGCCAAGGGTATAGTTATTACAATTTTTCTACTACCTAGTACCTACCCCTAATTAAATGCTTGGATAGAAAGAATAGGTAATATTATGGCATCGTTATTTCACATTGTTTTTTTCCTTGAAACTAGTATTTCCTTGGTCAATGCACATTGTGTGCTGTGAACAGAAATGGAATGACGAGAGTATGCAACTAAAACACTAAGTTCACATAGGGTTCATTATCCCATTGGGCAACAAGATACAACAACTAATTCCGTGCAATTCTTCTCTTTCAAAGTTTTTGCATAAATCTAGTAGAACTTAGATAACTTGCTCAGCATAGATAAAACAAATACTAGTAGCAGAACCAGAAACCAGTTGGCCAGTAAATACAATTGACCTAGCTACCTACCCAGCAGTCTTTAAAAGATTAAAACTAATGGAACTAGTCATGAAGGGTTAATACGACTAGGAACAATAATATATATGACGACTTCATTTAATTGAAATAAAATATGACTTTTGGTTTGAGGACACTATAGCATGAGATCTCAGCTTTAGCTACAGTACAACCTAATTATCCAGTACCCAGATGCCTCATTTAGTCTATCTCGGATAAAATGAAGGTTACCTGCCAATAAAAGCGTAGCCAATTTTCATCAATTTTCATATTAGAGTTGCTTCTCTCCTTCCACTTCAGAGCAACCATGTTAGCCAAGTCAATTTCACCATACTCCAGGACCATATAGATAAAGTGATCATCCTTAATTCTTCCATCCCTGGGTGGCACGGAACTTTCTAGAAGTAAACTCTTATCAGTGACCTGGTTGATGCAAAATCCATAGGCATATCAGAATATGTCACTGTGGAGATAGAATGGATAATTTGTGTAATAAGTAAAATTATTCTATGAAAACCAATAAGGACAAAGAACAATTTGACATCAGGTGTATTTTAGATAGCCAGTAGCTGCTGACAAATTACAATCATATGGCAATGTGGTTAAAATCTTTGTCACCACTCACCACACACAATTTACAGCCCTTTATATATGGCCTACAATTTACAATCCTGTATATATAAGACAACTTCTGTAAATACGATCATTGCAAATGTATAGTACTGGAGCTTGTACCAAAGATTTTATATATAGAAAAGCAACAGGTGTTGTTCTTTAAGTACTGAAACTAAAGCGCAGAATTTTGCAGACATGATAACGTTAGGTGGAGGCAACAGAGAGTACTACACACACTAACTGGATAACTCGTATAAAAAAAACTCAAAATAACACCACATATGATACAGATGTTACCAGCTAGATGTCCTATGGGTGAATGTGCATCATCTAGTAATGTTCAACTAGGACCAGGAAACAGCAGTGAAGTCTAGTAATATTGTCTGGTAAGTTTATGATATGAATGAATGAGAAATAACACAAAACATAAAAAAATTACATGATGCAGGTGAAGTTTCATATGTGTTTCTATAAAAAGTGAGGGAAAAAATACCAATATAGATCCTTGATTCTATTCATTGATCATCATTAATAATGGTTCTATGGAAACTAAGTAAACTGTAAATGTTTACATAAAGTTGGTTACACAGAGGCAGGAAATGAAGATGATAATTCAAGAGTAAGTTCTATGAGGAGAGGAAGACAATGCAGTCACTATTTTGGTGGGACAAAGATACCAAAAAAGAAAAAAAAAATGGAGATAAGGTTAGGAACTTGGTACCTCGTAATCAATCATCTGAATGATATTGCTCTTTCCTTTCAACTTATTTAAGTACTCAATTTCTTGACAAAACCCATATGCAGTAGGGTAGTCACGGCTTCTAAGCTTGATCTTTTTCAAGGCATATATTATGCAATCTGATGATATAACTTTATGAACTTCACTGCTACCTCCAGATCCTATTTTACCAAGTTTCTGATAAAGTTTCCCATTCACCTTAAAGAAAACATTAGGATCATAATTCTTTTTGTGGCGCTCCTTCTCACCCTTGTTTGGTCGGGAAGCACCACCATCCCTGGCAGATGTAGACTGATCATTTGCAGGTAATCCTTCGGAACGCAATCTGCCAATGCTGGAAACAGCTTTGTCCGTGGCACCATTGCCTAGATTTTGAACCTGCTGGTTGTGGGGATTCCAATCACCGACACCAGTTGCACCAGCAGGCTCCTTTTGAGAACCATGGCCCAGTACACCCTTGGATGATTCTACAGCAGATTCTGGCATCTGCACTGGTGAAGTGTATCTGCTAACCTGCGAAGTTTGTAAACTTTGGACAGTAGGCCCTGAGTGTGGAGAAATGGCAGTGACAGATGAACCAATAGCAGAGAAACGAGTCATTGGCTCTCCATGATTGTGATTACGAGCCTCATCAATCCCTCTCCGAGACAAATTAGGCGCATCATATTTGATATCCATATCAACTTCTGCACCAACAATTTCAAGCTCCTGATGGTTCTGCTGGTGATCGTACTGAGCTCCTTGATTTGCAGGAAAATTATCTCCTGCCGTCAATGAAACAGAATGTAGATAAGACGACATACTGTCCATTCTACTATCAACAGTGATGCCTATATCATCACCTGCAATGTAAACTGATAACTAAACATGTACACAACTTTGCAGTAAAGTATCAAAGAAAGAAAAGGTTTCTTACTTTGTGACGTCAACTGTGGATTACCAACCAAATCAAGTTGTCCTTTCTTGAAACTTTCCCCCATCAATGCACTGCATGATGTAATTTGAGATGACAAAGCTTCCAAAGCTGACTTCTCCCTATCAATCAACAGATTAGCCTCATTATTCTTCTGGCCAACACTTTGTGCATGGGTATCAATGGTGCTTTTTAACATTGATGAGGAAGCTGTCAACATCAACTCATCTGGGGTAGAGGACCCTAATTTAGGAGTGCTTTGATCAGGCGTCGCATTTGGCAGCCTAGAGGATCCCAACAGGCCTCTCTGAGGCTGCGTAACTTTTTGTTCAGGGTCTTTCGCAACAGAAGGGCAGGCACCAACTTTAGTTGCATGCTCACCTCCGGAAACCAGGACCCTAGTTGCTCTTGGAAGTTTAGACTGCATTGGACCTGGGGCAAGGTCAGTTAGAAAGATCAATACAATATACAAACTCGAGACATCACAGATATACAATACAGTATACAAGAAAGATCAATACAGTTTACAAACTCGAGACAACATCACAGATAGTTCCTAGAAACTCAACGACAGTGACACAACCACGAAATCAGGTGCAAGCATGACACTTTTTTAGGGTACCCAGTAAATCGGAAATATACAGAAGGTAACATGCATCAACATAAGATCAGTACAGTATACCAACTCGAGACAACATCACATATAGTTCCTAGAAACTCAATGACAGTGACAAAACCACGAAATCAGGTGCAAGCATGACATTTTTTTTATGAGCTTGTCTATCTAACACCCGGTAACACCTGAAATTTTTTCCCCATAGATACTGTTCATCTTCCTCCTCTCTTCTCTTCCTCCTTGGCACAAATCACAAATCACAAATCAAACAATTTTTTTCTATGAAATGACAGAGACAAATTTGGTGGCGGCGCCGGAGTTGGGGAAGAAGCTCGCCGGACTTGAGGAAGATGCCGGGGCGGCGGCGGCGCGGGGACGGGCGGGCGCAGGCGCTGCAGCGACGCAGGCGCGGCGGACGTGCGGTTCCGCGGCCAAAAAAATTCGTGTGCCACGGGTGATTGTATAGCATTTCCGTTTTTTCATAGGGTACCCAGTAAATCGGAAATATACAGAAGGTAGAGGGACATGCATCAACATACTTAGATTTACAGAGGAGAAGCGCCAAACATAAACTAGAACCCTTGACGGAAACAACATCAGAGGAGGGTAGGGCTCCATAGACGAATCCACTCACCGAAAGGCCTCTGCCGCTTGACAGCTGCATGAATCTGTTGCAGGAAGCGGGGAGGGGAGAGCGTTAGAGACGAGGACGACCCCGACGACGACGTCAGGTTGGTGGCGGCCGTGTCCCCGCCGGTAGGGACCGCGATGCCCTTAACGGCTCCGGTTCCGGGGGCGTAGGAGGGCGCTGGGGGCCGAGGGAAGCTATCCCTGTTCTCCATAGACGGCGGCGGGGGAGACGGCCGTGGGGCCCACCGGCATCTCGCCGGAGCGGCGGATCGCCGACGCTAGGGTTGCCTGACGACCGACTGTGGGTGAATCGGTGCAGTCAGCAGAGGGCTGGGGAGGCATCGCGAGGCGTGGGCTGGGAGGTGTCCATGAGACGGGATGGCAGAGCTGAAGCGAATCGAAGCGAGCGAGAGGCTGGAGAGGGAGCCGGGGAGGGAATGGGGAGGAAGCCACAAATTTTGAAATGGAGGAAGACGGAGACAAATTCACAGAGAGGTCCGGGGCAAAAGGGTAAAGAGGGACGGTTCTTAGGGGACGCTTCGGGTCCGACCAGGTCGGCGTCATGCGACCAATTTTTCCGATCAGTCCCGCGCCCTCTCCACTCCGGCGCATGGGCCGGCTTGTTCGGCCTGCTTCGCAGTCTGACGCGTACGCTATGCGGCCCGCTCGGCAGTCCCCATCCGAGCTCGCTGACGCCTCGCGCTGTTACCTCGACGGAAAATATCACGACGCTCCACGTTTCCCACCGCTCCTTTCGAGGTTTTCCCGCGTGAATGTATAGTGAGGAGAAGGAGCAGAAATAGAAGAAAATAGTAAAAATAATGTGTGGGAGGAAAGTAACAGTACTCCACCGTCCACAAAATTATATAAAAATATACTAACACTTATAAAACAAAATAATTAGATTAGTTATAAAATATATTTTCACAATAAATTTATTTGACACATAAATGCTAATAGTATTTATTGCAGACTTGATTAAATTTGAGCTAATTTGACCATATGTTCTCTATAATTTTTTTTCCTGAACGGAGGGAGTGCTGGGCGTCAAGCTTCACTAAAGACTTGTTTAGATATACGTGTATTCACTTCAATTCATATACGTTAAGATATAATACGTGGATTGAGATAAATACATGCTCATCCGAACCCGGCCTAACAATACTTAGATTTGAAGCTTGTGGTATGGGCCATGACGGATTATAGTCGAGTATAAGTTTTTGGGAGGGCCGGCCCATCTTAACATCCAAGTGTCCAACAGAACAACACTCGCCTGTTTGTTTGCGAGAAACGAAACTTCTGGTTTTCTCTGCGCGGAAGGAAGAATGGCGTCGTGGTTGGAGCAGCTGCAGCGCGAGCTCGCCGGCCGCGGCCTCGCAGTCGCCTCCATCCCCGGCAAGGGAAGGGCACTCATCGCTACCCGCACCTTCTTCCCAGGTGAAACCACCCTCTTCGTCTCTCTCCCCGAACCGATGGCGTAGATTTATCACTACACGCGAAGCGTGGCGCTTGTTGCCCACGAAATGCTCGATGAAATGTGCGAATGGAACCTGCCGTGAACGCTGGTGCCATGAGCCCATGACACACATAGACACGTCCTTGAATTGGTGTGATGATTTACTGCTCCGTTGTGTTGGCTCATTTGCTTGGCCTTCACCGGTGCTGACAGAATCCTGCGGTGTGTGGTTGCAGGGGATGTCATTCTCAATCAGGAACCTTACGCTTCTACGACTAACAAGATTTTAGTTGGATCGAGCTGTGATCATTGTTTCACCTCTGGCAACCTGAGGAAGTGCTCTATGTGTCAAGTTACTTGGTACTGCAGCAGCGACTGTCAGGTGCTGGCAAAACCTACTCTATGTTGCACTTACATTTCCCTTGATTGTGCAATCTCATGCTTGTGCGGTTATTCATGAACATTCCTTTAGTAATTATCATGCTTTTGATATCCCCCTTTTTTTGCCACTGTAACATGTTGTTAGTGCAGAAAGAAGAATGGAAACTACATCAGCTCGAGTGTAGAGCAATGGCAGCGCTTACAGAGGATAGAAAGAAGATGCTTACTCCTACAATTCGGTTGATGGTGCGTCTGGTACTAAAAAGAAAACTACAAAATGAGAAGGTAGTGTCTGGCTTTGTTCTTACCCCCTTTTTAGCTTGCCTGGGCTCAAACTATAAGTGGTGTCTCTCCTGTAGTAATTTCATTTTACAGTTTTTCTTGAAAATGGATCTGCATACTAGTTACAATGCCTACTGGACTACAGAGATGCTACTTTATTTACCACAAAGACCATCGTAATTACAGATCAGTATCAGATGGCTTATGATTTCTTTAGAAACCTAAGCTCATGATGTGAATGATATCTTTGTATATATGATCCATAACTGGCTGTATTGTGTTGACTTGTATTGCCAGGTCATTCCATCCTCAAGTATAGATAACTACAATCTGGTTGATGCCTTGGAGTCTCGTATCCTGTCGTGTTGATAAATTTGACTGGCGATGAACATAAATATTATGATAAATGATGTTGAATTGACTTCATATACGAATAGATATATCGAAGGTTGATGAAAATCAACTTGTGCTCTATGCTCAGATGGCCAATCTTGTGAGCCTGATTCTTCCTTTGCTTGAGCTTGACCTTAAGGAAATTGCACACACTTTTTCTAAGGTAATTCCTATCATAATGTTTCATCATCATGACGATAAGTTATTCTGTATTTGCACTCAAGGTATATAGCATTATTTTGGCTACTATAGAAGATAGATACTGAAATCTTTTGAACATAGCTGGTTTCAGGTGTCATAATTGAGCATATATTGTTTGGAATGCAAAAGCTGTGTATTTGAGATTAATAATCCAAAAGGTGTTGAGAACCTATTTGGATATGGTCGTTTTAGTCCTAACACTTTGGAAAATATAGACTGGAGAATGCAAGTGTCCACGGACACCTTGTAGCTTTATTTGAGTAGAGTAGTATCTTTGTATGAAGTACCCCAGGAAGCTAAAACCAAGAAACTTCAGAAAAATATGAGTAGGTTGTACTGATTTATAATCCTTCTTATATCCAAGCAGTTGTCAGGACTATTCTATCAAAGTGCTTTTAGTAAAGTATAGTGTTGCTCATCCTAGATCATGGTCATATGACTCATATTCTGTATGTATCACCCCTTCTGTACAACAACCCTTATGATATATGTGCCATTAGATTTATTTTCATATCCAGGTGAGTGGTGATCCTTTATGCCACTGAGATGATAAATTATTACCACTTTTTTCCAGTTTTTCTCTGGACAGTGACAATTTCAAAATTATGGGGAAATATTGCCACTGCTGCATATTTTCGAAATGGTAGAAATATTGCCACTGTGGATCATATAGTGCTTTTTTTTTTTGAAAAGTCAGATCATATAGTACTTTGACATAGCTGTTAGGATTAATTTGCAGGTCCAATGATGTTTGTTGATGAATTAAACATGAATTATTGATTCTCTTGCACATATGCAGTTTGCCTGCAATGCGCATACCATATGTGACCCTGAACTTAGGCCTCTTGGGACTGGACTGTACCCTGTCATATCCATTATTAACCACAGGTCGTATGCTAAGCTATTAGCTATATGTTCGTTTATCTATTATCTTTACCAGATTAGAGCAATTAATAGATCGTTACCTTCTCTATTCACCCATTTTTTGGTATATTCAGTTGTGTACCAAATGCAGTATTGATATTTGATGGTCGCACAGCATATGTTCGTGCATTGCAGCCGATAGGCAAAGATGAAGAGGTAAGGCATCTATACCTTGTGTCCTGATAATATAATCCTTAAATTGCATGCCACGCTTTCATTCTATCCTTTTCCTTTTTCATTGTTATCTTTCTGGTTAATGTTGGTTGTGTATCTGACTATCTGTTGTCACTTGTCAGGTATCTATAAGCTACATTGAAACTGCAGCAGTCACCAAGAAGAGACACAATGATCTGAAGCAGTACTTCTTCACCTGCACATGTCCACGTTGTGCCAAGGTTTTTTTTTCATCCTTTTTTCCTGTCCTTTATTTTTTTAAACCTCTTTCATGACAAATTGACCAATTCTTGACCATCAAATTGTATATTCTATACAATTTCTCAATGCAGGGTTATGAGGAGGATGCTCTACTTGAGGGGTTCAGGTGCAAGAACCAAGCATGTGATGGCTTTCTGCTGCCAGACTCAGGTTGGTTGCCTATAAGACGAAAAATACTCATTGAATGGTTGTGGAGAAACAGTTGAAAATTGGTGGATCAACCAAACATATATTATGTTGAAATTGGAGAACTCATTTTGTTTGATCAGTCATTAATCTTATATGTTGTGTTTATCTGACTCTATAGGTAAAAAGGCTTATACATGCCAAAAATGTAGTGTTTCTAGAGACGAGGAAGAGATAAAAAAGATGAGAAGCGAAATACTACAGTTATCGGATAAAGCATCTTCATTTCTTTCATCAGGAAGTATCCTTGTCTATGATTAAGTGTCCGTGAAACAAAAAACTCTCACATCTGATCAAAATGATCATCGTCTCTATTTGTTGTACCTAATACATATATCACCTTAATGAGGAAATAGATAAGGCTGAAGCTGGTTCTGTCTACAAGATAATCGAACAATTAGAGAGGAATCTGTACCATGCTTTCTCAACCACTTTGCTGCACACGTGTGAAACACTCCTGAAGGTAAATTTCTAGCTCATATAATATGACCATTTAGTTATTGGATGCAAATCAAGCTGACTTGAATGAACTATACCTTTCTTTGTAAAATTTGTTCTAACAAGATAGGTTCTTAGTCCAAAGTATTTTATGGAATGGGGACCATGAATACCACCATAACCACCCATTCAAATTTTCAGTTACATTCTACTATCTTGCTAATACCTATTATTAACGCAGATATATATGGAATTACAAGATTGGCGGACTGCATTGGCATACTGCAGATTGACAATTCCTGTTTATGAAAGTAAGGCTGTTTTATATTTTTATTTGAGCAAATTCTGTTTCAGTTGGAGAACATTTCATACAGTAACTTTTCTGTTTCTGCTTTTATATGTTATATAATAATTTGTGAGACTTTATCTACCTAATCAGATCCTGATGTCTGATGTTAACTCTAGAAATATTTTGCTGATCAGTAAGAAATCAAACATGATATTGTTCCATAAAAGGCTGTTTCCCTGTTATACCCAATTACTATTTGATCACATTTGGTAGTGCTCTGTTTTAGATCCTGTTTTTTCACACATTTTTTTTTACCAACAAAGCTCAATGCTCACTAATGTTTTTATCCATCCATTAGGAGTTTATCCACCTTTTCATCCGATGATTGGATTGCAATTCTATACTTGTGGAAAGCTTGAATGGTATGGATTATTAGCCCTTACCTATTCACAAGGACATCAATCATATGAGTGTGTTCCTTATCCAGTATAAATGTTTGCTATTAATGTCTTATGCTTTACTAAAACAGCTAGTGTTGATTTTGACAAAAGTTGATCTTGGGTTTGATGGCGCTGATAGTATATGGTCATTAAGAGCAACTCCAAGAGCCTCTGTAAATTTCAATCTCTATATCTAACATTTTGAGAGCCATTCAACGAATATTCTCTTTGTATATCTCTCTTGTCTCCAAAGGACTCTCCAATTTTTGTTCTCTATACTCCAATAGCTTATCATAATTTTCCTTGCATGAGAAAACAAGAAAACCACCATATATTGCATTTAGGAAGCCATGTAGCCTCTTCAAAACTGGAGAGCGAGAAGGGTGGTTTTGGAGAGTGGAAAGATGGATAGTGGTTTGGAGAAGTCTATCTATTGGAGCATTTTTTTGGTTTGTTTTCTAAATTTTGTGATAAAGAGACATGTAGAGAGTGTCTTGGAGATGCTCTAAGAAAACTCTAGCTGTGATCTTTCATAAAGAGAAGTTAAGAATCAGTCCTTTTTATTCAGTGTTCCATACTAGTTTCCTTTTAAAAAATCCTAGTAAATCCTTCTTCACAGCATTAAACAGTCCTGTTCATGATTTAGAGTTACATGACTACATTACACCCAGTTTTCCCCTGTTGTAGGTTGCTTGAGTGCACAGAGGATGCACTAAAATCTTTAACCAGGGCAGCAGATATACTTAAAGTAACACATGGCACAAAATCCCAGTTCATGAAGGAGCTCTTTGGCAAGCTAGAGGAAGCAAGAGCTGAAGTTTCTTTTAGGCTATCCTCCAGACATGGACATGATGAGTAATTTTCATAACTGCAGGCCAACCATGATGGAAAAGAATATATTGAAAATATCCTTCTACTGTTGAGATCATATTTTAAGAAGTATTGTGGAGACTTTGTAGGCAAAGAAGTATCACTGTCGTGAAATGATCATACGCTGACACAAAATATGCCTTAGTTTGTTGTATAACGAATAGGATTTTGAATCTAATTGTATACCATGTGGTAAGTTGAACTCAAACTCCCTTATACCCAGCATTCATATTTAACTACTCAAGTTGGACATCTATCACATGGCACAAGGAGCACAGAATGCACCGTCAGAGTGCCACATTTTATGAGAATCCAAAAGCAGCTACTGATATTTCTCTGAGTGACGATGTAGAAGTTGGATCAAAATGGATTAACATTGCATTTTCTATACATCGATGTGTGTTAGTCTTCACATGATATGTTCTCTATCCTCTATGCTTAAATCTTGGGCCTCATTTTGGACACGGAAGTCTTACTGGTTTCTCAGAAAATGTACAGCTTCCAAAAAATTCCTATCTTTCAAATGGGAGAGGAAGAAGGATGTTACAGAAGGATATTTACACGTCTTACACTACCTCAGTCCTCAGGAGAGGAAGAAGGATGTTACAGATAGCTGACACCTAAATGTTATCATAACATTATTATAATGGAACCCTGTATGTTGGGTCGACCATCTTCAGTACGAACAAGTTTCCCTTGTCGCCTCTCGAAACCCTGCAAGCAAGGTGGTTTCTTACAACATTAGCAAATGGTATCCCCAAGGCCCAAGCATTGCTTAACAAAGAGGCCTTAGTTAAGCTTATAATTATAGAATAAAAGAATTTTCCAGCGTTAGTAGTTCAATGAGAGAGCAAAAGTCATGATGGAGGAGAATATATGAGATGAGGGCATGAGGCAATATATGAAATAATTAAAGTGCGTCCATCAGAAACCTTTCGTAGGGATAAATATGCTAACCTGAGCTCTTCATCAAGATAAGTAACTTCAAGTTCACCTTTACCACTTCCGGGTGCTTTGATCGGGATCTAATCATAGAGAAACTAAAATAACATTAGTTCACCTTTTGCTACCTAAAAATCGACTATGCTGTGGGGAAAAAAGTTTCTGAGAGAGAACATCCATAATGAGTATGAACAGGAAAAGTAAACAAATCTAGCAAGGGAAGTGAAGGATTACATCAGGACATAGAGTTTATACATGTTGAGATCATGGTATACCAGCATGCCTATCTGTTCACTACTCAGCAGTGAATTACTTTAGTAAAACAGAAACAAAAGGTAACCAGTTCAATCATAAACTAGACAAATGAATTATAGACTATTTAGTGTAACATCCAAACTTTTTTTAACGCAAGTAACATCCAAAGTAATACTTGGAGGATAATACGTCTTACCAAACTAAATATCTTGAAGTAATCAAATTTAACTGCCACTCTTCTAGGATTCAGAGGTACCAAATTGGCAGTAACCTGAAAAGACAAAACATACGCAAAACACGCTAGCACCATGCTTCAGAGAACCAACCAACACAAGTAATACATTTGTTTCAAAAAAAGAAAAAGAAAAAAAAAACACAAGTAATACAAAACCAGCAACAATATCGAGTATGCTGTTAGGAATATATTTGCAGGCAAAAGCCTAGAGCATTACATGTAGCATAGCAGCTGTTCAAAGGAAAATGCAACATAACTTCAAAAGCAGCAAAATAACATAGAGTTATATAGCTGCAAACTGACACTAGAAGAAGGTTCCAACATGGAAATGAACATGTTATTAAAATCAAACCAAGACATCACTACTGTGATCAATGTTTCAGCTAACACGTTCCTTTATCCAGAGCACAAGCCAGTGTCCTACTTTCCCCCATAACACATCAGAAAGATCTCAGCTACATGCCACACATAAGGTACAGCGTGTCGTTCCCAGATCAGAACTCTTTGCTTCATAACAAAGAAAGGGATTCAAGAATGCCAAAGGGGGGAAAAAAGCCAAAAGTACACTGCAACAAGTTCTAGCGAAAATTACCTGATTAAAGTAAGGATACGTTTCCATATTTTGGGCTCTCAATGTGTCGGCGTTGATTGCTTGGTAAATCTTCCCAAACGGCCTCAGATACTTTGGCCTCTGCAGTAGAAAGTGAGTAGAATTTGGCATTCCTGTAAAAAGAATTCTAACTATTTTCTTCAGCAGCAGCATGCCAGGAAGGTCGAAAATATATAAACTATGAACTGAACGTCTTTTTTTCCTCGAATTTAATTTCGAATTGCATAAATTCTGCATACGTGAAGATTATCGCCCTATTACCAATTTACCACTATGAAACAATAAAGCAATTTGTACCTTTGAACTTATCAGAACCTATCTTTCAAAGAAAAGAACTTACTTAACAGAAGTTCAGAACCTGTACATTGCTGAGGCAAAAAGGAAATGAACCTGTGGTTGCAGTATACTTGTGGAGGTGGTATAGAGAAGCTCCCATTTTCCGTTGAGGAGATCGGACTTGAGCGGCTCCTTCACCTGGTTCACCGCCTCCAGCTGCTGAACAATCTAAAGCAAAAAAACAGCTCGCCAGTAAGCTCTACCATCAACCAATGCACGCGTTGCTCGCGTGGGAAAAAAAATCAACCAATGCACGCTCCGTCCCTCGCAGCTACTAGTTTCTTCGTCCTCACCTGCTCGACGCGCTCCTTGTCCTCGGGCGTGGCCTCGGCGCCACGGTCCAGCGGCGCGATGGCGTCGAGGAGCTCCTCCTTGAGCCTCACCGCCTTCTCCCCCTTATTCCATGTGAAGAACGGCGGCAGGAAGGAGGAGAAGGACGATATGCCTGCTCTCCACCTGCCGCCGCCCTTCCTACCGCCGACGCCCGGTGCCGCGGCGAGCGCGAGGCCTGGCACTCTCCTGCGCTCGCTGCTCCGCGACGACGTGGGAAGTTGGGAGGCGGCGGCGGCGGCGACGCTGGGGCCGGGGCTGGCGGCCAGCGGGCGCGAGGATCCGGGCGCGCACGAGACGGAGAGCGGGAGCGAGGCGGGCGCCATGGTACGGCGCGACACGGCACCGCCGCACGGGGAAGCGGAGGGACGCGGTGGAAGCGAGCGGGATTTTTGCGTGCGATTGCGGTGGAAGTCGTGGGGCGAGGCCGTGCGTGTTTTCCAGAAGGACGCAGGGCAGAGCCTGTCGCGTTTTTTTTTTTGAGTGGTGGATAGGATAGAGCGCGCGGGCGCGGCGCCCCGGGTGGGGGTCTCGGACTCTCGGCCTCTCGGCCGCGGCCGCGGCCGCGGCCGGGGAGCACGTGGTGGTGTCCGTGCACCGCGGGCAGCCATGACTGCAAGTTGGGGACTGATGAACACCAAGAAACCTGAATGGCTTCAATCAAGCGATTCAAATCATCTTTACCAGGAACCGAAAACAATTTAACCATCGACGGGCTAGCCAAACTTTTGTTTTTTCAACTACATTTGTGAAGGACAGAGAGCTCGAATCATAACATTTCTGCACATGACCAACACATGCAAGGATGAAAACAGGTATATCATCGATACTCTGTTTAAGCTTCTGAAACAATTGGAATCAGTGGCAGGTGAACAATCCCCAGAACACTGGATCTGGTTAATAGTACTTCATTAGCAGTCTGAACTCCTTGCATCAAGCACAGATTGGGCCAGAGGGATACCAAAACAGTGAACCATGGTCCCTGGATGTAAACAAGAATTTGACCTTCATTTATAGAACCGACCCATATAAGCTAGTATGGCACTGCTACAAAATCTGCAGCAGCTGATGGCTTCCCCATGATTCGTCAATGGCAGCATAAAAGCTTGAAACAAAATACCCAGCAGTAGTAGCAGTACACACACGCACACGCACAAAGAGACAACTTAAATACATGGCAACACGATTTATTCATCCTGGGAGGCGGGTGACTTCTTCTTGGCAACTGAAGCCCTCTTTCCCTTGAGTGTCCGGCAGTTGTTCTTTGTCCTCTGGCCACGAACTGGGAGTCCAAGCTTGTGCCGGATGCCCTTGTAGCACCTAATCTCCTTCAACCTCTCAATCGCCACACGGTTGAAACGTTTCTGTAAAGCATACCAAACAACAGTGTGCCAGTTCTCAGTATTTTCACCCCCTTTGAATCCAACATCGATATCAAATTAAATGGTCAGGAATGATCTATGATTACGAAAGTGAAACAAAGTACACAGGCCTAGTTTCTTCAAAAAAAAGTACATAGGCCTACAGAATGAACTTCAATGCTTTCAAGGAATCATTGATATGCTAATTAGGGTAATCATACAAGTCGCTAATCATAATGAACTACCGAATCAAATAACTGCAGTGATGAATCAACAAAGGGATCAGGGATATTACAAGGTCTCCCTCAATCATGTACTTGCCAACCTCCTTACGGAGGGTGATGACCTCCTCCTCGGAGAGGTCTTTGGTGATCTTGTTATCGAAATTGAGGTCCAAGAGGATCTGACGCGAGCGTGACCGCCCAATGCCATGGATGTACTGCAGCGAGTACTCCACCCTCTTGTGGTTTGGAATCTCAACACCACCAATACGGATGCACTCAATCCGCAAGCCACCGTGACCAATTCCTCCCTTCTGTCAGCCCCCCAACATACAGCACAATCAAAACCATAAAATAAACCACCAACATCAGCCTGGGCATGAAGGGTCATTCGGATGGGAATAATATAAATTAATAATATGTCAAAGTTCATGCTTGTGTGCTTGTATTCAGGCTGTGCGCACAATGCAACAGAGATAATAAATAACAGCTCCTATAATCAGATTAAGATCCACATCAATATTTCAACTAAAAGAACCATCCTTTTCCTTGCTACCAGAATCAGACATATATACTGCTGTACCATGAAACACTAGCATTATTGATAATGCGCCAGAAAATTCATATGCTTGAATCAACATACATGCCATTTCCTACCATTGTGGTAAGAATCCCCAGATCACAGAAGACCATCCTTCCAACGCCACTGACACGACCATACAATTGCACACATATGCGCCATTTACTAGTCCCTCTCGTCCCAAGTACAGGGTTAGAAAAACAAGACACAAGCCACCCAATCAGACACGCTCCCCGGCCGCAGGTGACAGGATGCAGCGCCCGAACACATACAAACCCAAGCACAAACCAAGTACAAAGTATGCACAAGCAAATGGTCGCGAGGGGGGAGGGCAGAACGGAGTGATAGGAGAAGACGGCACTAACCTTAGCGGGGAAGGATACGGAGGAGCTGCGGCCCCGGGTGGAGAGGGAGAGGGAGGAGGGTGCGATGGGGACAGAGACCATGGAGAGGGTCGCCATTTTTGCTCTCCTGTGAGACTGTGAGAGGCCTGTGCGTCTCGGATAGAAAACCCCAGGGCCAGGGGAAAGATGATGATAAGGTTGCGCAGGCAAACATCCGCGGACCTAGTGGGCCTTTCCGGATATGCTTGTTTTGGGCTCTACGATATTTTGGCCTCCATAAAGCCCAGAGCTTGCAAGTCTCTGTTTTTTTGCTTCAGAGCTTGCAAGTCTTAAAGCGTCATATATATGATGATCAATACAAATTTTTAGATATAAAAAATAGCACTAGTACATGATTGCCGCTGATATTTTCTCATGGAAAATATGATCTAGTTCAAATTTTTTCTTGACGGTCCATGAAAAGAGGCCAGATGACTTTATATAAACTACTAACAAATATACCCTTGCATTATAACGAAATAAAAAGCTATCAAACTTTCACCCATGCATTACAACAAAATAAGAAAATAGCTACCAAACTTTTTTCTCTTTCTTTGAAATTTAAGAGTTATAGTTTATTATTAATTGGTGTTGAACTAGAAATTTTACTATCAACGGAAACAAGTGATGTGTCTAAAACACTAAAAATTTATTAGAGGTATCTTACAAGTCTTCGGAAATATTAAAATTGTGCACACACCTATAGGTCTCACGCGTCCCTATTTCCCTTTAAGTGCAAGTACTTCGTATTTCTCTGTTGAAGTAATTCTTGAGTTTTCTTTAATATTCTCTTCATCACAAATTAAATTAACTTCTAGAGTTATTATAAGTAAAGGTATTTAAGTTTGACCAATTTTATACAAAGGCCCTGTTCGCTTGTCTTATAATCCATACTTTTCAGCTTGTTTTTTTTTCAGCCGAAACAGTGTTTTTCTCTCACGACAAATCAGTCGGAACAGTGTTTCGGCTTGTTTTTTCAACGAAGCGAATGGGGCCAAAATAACATTGTTACTTATGACACCAAATTAGTACCATGATTGCGTAACGAAAAAATATATAATGTATTTTTTTGGTGTAATAGATATATGTTGTTACACTTTTGTGTAAAGTTGATAGTTTAGCTTAGAATGATTTTAGGAATTGATTTAGGTTCTTTTTGGCAAGGCTCTGACTTCTCAAAGAAAATGGAGGAACTAGGAAAAACCATGTTTTGGTGGCTTGGACTTCTAGCCCCAAAATGGATTCGACTTCACTGTTTTAGCTTGTTTTGGCTTCGAAAACTATTCTAGTGTATGCTTGTTTGGTAGGACTTTTAATTATGCCAGTTGAGAAGTCCAATGAAAACCCTGTCAAATAGGACCTTATTTTGGAATAGAGGTGTAGTTCTTAGTAATTGGCAGCTCTTACATGTCAATATATTTCAAACGTGCTCAATAGTCCTTAGTAGGTATCACATGTAGTTCTCTGTGTTCAGTAGCTCCCGGCACCTTTTTCGCGCATGTGTGTGGGGTGGGAGGGGGGAGGGAGGTGCCTAGTTAGGTGTAAAGGGTCATCTTTGTCATGTGTTTTGTACTTCTTTCTCATCTGCTTAATAGTACTTAGTTTTTATGTCTTCCATGTTCGGTGTTTTCTAGGTTCTGTATTTCAAATGTTCTCCCGTAGAGTTAGGGTTGGTTTTTTCGTATTGTCTGCTCAAGTTGCTATTTTTTTGAATTTATCAAATATGTCCATATGGGTCCTATATACTCATGGGTATTGATTAGTGTTGCAACATTCATACTTATTAGGGGTTGAAGCACCTATACTGACTATGGTCGCATCAAGCATACTGATTAGGGCTCCTAGCTTTCATAATGATTAATGGTTATTATAGCATCCATACTTATTAGGCCTTGCAACACCGTACATCATCGGTCACTTCAGAATATTTTTTACATAGACATCTCACTATCCTCTCCCCTTTACTCACTTCCCCATCAAATCCTTATAGGGATGAAAACTGTCAGGAATGGTCTAGAAAGTCCTTTTACCGCTTTCAATTTCATATTTTTGTCTAAAAAATAATTGAAATTAAGAATACCGGTCAGAAATAGATATAGAAATGTCGAGATATCATAAACAAAATAGTTTGGTCAGTGTAAGTGCAATCAAGCCCTATTGTGGGTTTTGGTGATAATGACCACGCAATCAGGGGACTAATAAGATTTATCGAGTTGACAAGCAGGTAAAATGACAAGGAGGATTATACATGTGTTGGTGGAGCCCCAATTACAAAAGGACATGGTGACCGACTCAAAGGCGCTTAATTATCTTATATTTCGAATTTGAGTTTAGAAAAAGCCACACTACAAAGGGGGATACAATGCACAAGCTTCAATATGTAACGATGAGCTCAAATACCCACCAAAATATCCTCATTACCTAGCCAAGACAGCAAGCCTTTCACTCCATCCTTTTGGCTGTCTTTGGCTGAGCAGCAGTGCCAAGTAGCAGTGCCGCGTGAGCGAGGAGCACTGTCGTGACTTAAAATGACCATTGGGGCTAAGGGGGTATTTTATCCTCTCCCTCATCTCCTCCAACGGTTACCTCGCCCATTTCCATGACTAGAGCAACCAGAGCACCTCTCCTCTCTCCATTGAAGGCTCTCCAAGCTCCCAAGCTTCTCTCCCTTGATTCCCTTCCAAATCTTTGAGAGATTGAGCCTCCAAACTTCGATTGAGAGCTGCTCCAACTGATCTTCAACTCCTAGAGCTCGTGGTTCACGTTCAAGCTGGTGGATTGTATTTATTACTCTTGGAGTTTGCTCCTAGCTAGCTAGAGCGTCGCCCGTGGAGCTTGCCAACTTGTGTGGTAGTCCCGAGAGGTTTGTAATCACCTCAATCAGCTAGTGAAATCACCCCTCACCTCAAGAGTTCATTCTCTTGACTTGAGAACAAGGATAGGGTTCCGCCAAACCCAAACCTTAGTGGTTTCCTCAACAACGTGGACTTAGGCAAGCCTTAGTGGCGAGCTGAACCACGGGATAAATCGGTGTCTCACTTGTGTTCTTATGATTTGCATTGCAATATTTGTGTTTTTGGTGATTCTAGGGTTTGGTCCCGATCTACTTGTGCACAAGCTTCCGATCTGTTTCAAGTGGTGGAATAGGTTCAATACTACCCCAAGAAGCTCAGTAATTTACCTGATATATTTTTCCTTGGGTAGTTTTTTGAATTGTAAGCTCATGGGTCTGTGCGAGCAGTAGTGCTGCTTGAGTGACCAGCAGTGCTGGTCCTCCGAGCAGAAGTGCTGCTCTTTTTTAATAGAGCTTTTGAGTTTTTGTTTTGATAGGCCTATTCACCCTCCCCCCTCTAGGCTTAGCAGGTCCTTACAACTGATATCGGAGCAGGTTGCTTCGTTGACGCTTAACCGCGTGAGGTATGGAGTCTAGAGAAGGAGCCGGTGATGTGCAACCCATGTATGTTGACTCAAAAGATTTAGATTTGCATGAAATGGACAACAACGAGTTGAGTGCCTCAATAGCAGGCACTTCACTTCCTGCAGTTGTCCTCTCCAATGAAGAGAAGGCCAAAAGACTAGAAGAAAAGAAGCAAAGAAAAGAAGAAAGAAGAAAGAAAAGAGAAGCAAGACAAAAGAAGAAAGAAGCGTAGCAAAGGCTTAAAGAGAAGATGCAAAGAAAAGAAGCTAGAAGATTGAAAAGAGAAGCAAGGAAGAAAAGAGAAGAAGCCAAGAAAAAGAAGCTAGAAGAAGCCAAGTCAAGCAACACTTCATCAAGTGAACTATCAAGTAGCACCGAAGATGGAGATGATGATGAGTCCTACCAAGTGTCCAAGGGTGGAAAGAAGGAGAGCAAGGGAAAGGGCAGCAGCAACAACAACAAATATGCAGCCATATCCTACAATTATTCTTCTATGACTAACAATAGTCGTAGACATTTCATCAATGTGCCCACGGGAAAGTTGCCTTGTTTTGATGGGACCAACTTTGTCAAGTGGAAGCACTTGATGAGAGCTTATCTTGTAGGTCTCCACCTGGGCATTTGGGAGATTGTTCACAATGGTGTTGAGCCACCGGTTGATCCCAATAACCCAACTCAAGCCGAAATTTGCAACATTCATCTTAATGGTCAAGCTACAAGTGTGTTGCTCAGTGCTTTGGATGGTGATGAGTACAATAGAGTGACGAGAGTTGATGTTGCCAAGCAAATTTGGGATACTCTACACCTTGCACATGAAGGGGTTGACAAAGTAAGGAAAGCAAGAATTGATTTGTTGATGGCTAAGCTCAATCGGTTTGTGATATTAGATGGAGAAGGGACACAAGAGATATTTGATAGGTTGATGGTGATTGTTAGAAAGATTAGAGGCTATGGTGGTGATAAGCTTGATGATCACAAGGTTATCAAAAATATGCTAGAAGCTTACTCACCTATAAATGAGACTATAGTGACACTCATTAGAGATAAGAAGTTTGAGCACTTCACACCAAATGATGTGTTTGGAAGAATCATGACATTTGACATGCAAAGAGAGGAGGCACTTGAGAGAAGGAAGCTTGGTGAGTTGCAAGCACAACTAGATGGCATGAAGATCAAGGATGTTGCTCTTAAGGCCAATAAGTCAACCAAGCAACCCTCTACAAGCAAATCCAAGTCCAACAAGCAAGCATCAACTAGCAAGCCCAAAGCACCGAAGCAAGTCAAAGAAGAAGTAGAGACAACATCATCAAGTGAAGATGAAAGTGATAATGAACAATATGAGAAAGTGAAAGATGTTGCTCTCTTTTTGAGAAGGTATCAAAAGGGGCTCAAAAAGCAAGGCTACAAGGTAGTGAAGAGGAAGTTCTCAAACAAAAAGAAGAGGTTATGCTACAATTGTGGGAGCACCGAACATTTTATTGCTTATTGTCCCCATGAAATTAAAGACAACAATTACAAGAGAGACAAGAAAAAGAGCAACACCGACTATAAAAGAGCAAAAGGCACATGGAAGAGTCTCACATCGAACATGAATGGGACTCAACAAAAGATAGCTCAAGTGAGGAGGATGAGGAGATTACAACCGTGGCTATTCACAAGC